TGTTCTTCTATGCTTAATGGGTTCCTAATGCTTAATTTTAGGTTAGACAACAAATGATCAAATTAGGGAATTAGGAACACAAGGTTATGACCACACACCATGGCTTAATCATACTTTAGCTAGAATCAATCCATTAATCTAAATTGAACTTGGGAACTTATTTGCTTGAGTTACTTATTTCTTTCTTCCTTGTTTTATGTTCTTTGTTTTTGTTTCTATTTTGTGTAGGGAAACTAAATTGGATCATTCAATCACCAATCCTCGTGGGATCGACCTCGCACTTACATATGCTATACTACCAAACGGCTCGTGCACTTGCGAGTATCACAAGTTGAGGATGCAGCTTAATCCATTTTGGTGCAGCTGAAATCCACACAACACACCTCCCATAAGTGATTTTAAGTGATTCTGAACAGAAGCACCTCCTATGTGCTTCTTCATAAAATCACTTAAAATAGCTTAAAATGATTATTTGGAAAAGTAATTCTCTATAGAAGTGTTTTTTGACCTACCCAAAATCACTCCAAAACGAGCCATATATTAGTAAACTAATAGGTAGTTAGTCTATTCTCTCTTGACCTACTTAAACTTTTTAATTGATGGAAATAATCCATTGATTTTGTACCAAAGGTGTTGAACTCGAGATATTAACTGACTATTGACCAATCCCCCCCTTCATTTTTAACCAATTGCTCTATCCTAAACTCAACTCTCTGTGCGTTTATTTGTACAGGGGTGAGTTTCTCAACTTTTGTCTAAACTTTGGATTCGCAAATTCAAAGTTCCTCTTCAAATGTCGTACATGATTAAGAAAATGAACGATAGTAAGCCACAGCCCACGTGAAAGTGATCTATTCTCTTTATACGAGTGGATAATTGCTTGCCATTTAGGAATTAGGGAACTAGCAAGCACTGTAAGCAACGATGTAGGTTCGAACCTTCAAAATAAAAATAAGTGAAAACCATTTCGTTTTATCGCATCCAGTTATGCGATGATATTCAGCAGAAAATTACAACTTTTTCTGGAATATTTACCAGAAGCAAGCAACAAACAGGTTTTGTAGTACCAGCGTCTCATTTCAAGTAATGAAGTCTAACATCATCAAATGCAAAATATAACATTCAATCCAAAATTGACGAGCAAACTACCCATTACAAAACATTATCAAAGACCTGCTTGGGGGGTTTATGCCCGCCGTATGTATCAGCTTGTTCATCTTCTTACACTAACTTGTTAATAAGTAGTCCTTTTTGAAAGTTTCACAAAACTAACATGTGCCACTAACTCGAGTAAAAAACCAACTCGCAACCCCGCAAGGTCACCAATTGCTCTAATGCCATTTGATTCAATTTCATCTCCAGTGATTAGCGCTTCTTCTTGCCTCCTTTTGCAGCACCGGATTTGGATGGACTAGCAACCAAGTACACAAATAGAACCACAATGGAGACCACAGAGATCAGAGACCCATACTTTGCCAGCAGCCTCTGTAGATAAGAGAAGGTCCACGTGTAAGGGGAGAAACAAAGAAATGGTACAACTCCTCACTCCATTCAGATACACATAACGATGATTTAACAACTTCCAGAATATAAAGATTCAACAGCACATTAACAATATTTCATACCTTAACCTGAAAAAATTTCGCCCCAAGCAGAGAGGTAATTCCATGAAAACATAAAACACAGCATCAGTTAACACAGTAAAAGTTGTCCAAAATCAGATTGCCTAATATAACTGCTATCTGATGGAGAAGCTTACCGAGTCAAACTTGTTCTCAGGAGGCCTGTCTGCAAGAACATCTAGAGGAAGAATTGGAGTTGAATAAGACTCCTAGAAGAAACAGGAAAGTCAGATGGTAAAACATTTATACAGCCAAAACCAGAAACAAAGGAACGGGTTGCAGACATCCAACCTGTAGAGCGGCCTTTGTGGGAATGCGGAATGTAATAAGAGCCGGTGCACCATTAAATATTCCTTTTTCTTTGGCCTCCAATTCAAAAGAGTGGGATATAATGCCACCTCTGCAAATATCATTTAGGGAATAACTAAATAAGAAACAAAAGGAGTGGAAAACCATCCGAAGTAGCAAATGCCATTACAAATGAGTTGGCACTTACGCATCCAGCCTTTCCCATGACTTGGAAGTGTTACCACTGACAGCATGGAAGATATCTTGAGGCCAGCTCTCATCACTCAAGCTTACATCATAAGCAGTTCTGGAAAGGAATCATTATAAATTATCATCAATTCTATTATCATATATAAGCAGACATATAAGAATCAAAACAAAAAGAATATCAGTTAACAATCAGTCAGTAGAACTGTGGAGAAACTAGAAAAAATGAAAGAGATGATTCATATACAAATACAAAGACGAAAGCCTGCAGAGATGAGGTTAACATGGTTGTGTTGTGCCTTTATTTCCATGCAGAATTGAACCACTAAATGCAAGTAGGCTGGAAAAGCATTTTGCACATCCTCTTTTATTTGACCACAAAGAGTATTGTTAAGTTATTTCATGGGTCACACAGACATGACAAATACATAAAGAACAATTTCACAAATTTAAAACTAGTCGATCTAAAGTAAGTTACAGGATGTTAGTACATCCTGTCAACCACTGACATGCTAATTAGATGAGCATTGGGCCATGCCCTTAGCCCCAAAAGAATTCAAATTAAGGTATTTGATATTTTCTAAGTTGACTGTCCCCAGCAACATTACCAAGTTATCCTGTGGAAAGGGAAATTAATAAAGCTGATATGCTTTTACGACTTGTAAGACTTGTATATACATCAAATAAAACATCCATGTAACTTTCATCCTCTCGCTCCACAAAACCACCAATTCCTTCAACACTTTTGTCACATGTTTCAACCAATTCCAGCAAACAGCCATTTCCCATTCAACATACATCATATAAACACAGCTAACACTGTGACAATGAGGTTCCAACAATAGTTACAGTTTTCTCTTTTGCAATGACATATTTTATAAAATAATCCAAAACATTATGCTTTGCACAGTTACTGAGACATAGAGAGCATCAGTACCGGATTAATTGACGGAATAGTTTTCAATAATTTTCTTTCCAATAAGAAAACAAGCAAACTTCCTAGATTTCACAGCAACCAAACAGAAATAAAATTGAAGAAAAACAAATCCAATAAACAACAAACAATTCACAATGAAAACGCAATACTCGAGAAATACGTTCCAGTTCAACCAACAGCTAAGCAAGACGAACCATAATTGAAGATAAGAATGAAAAACATGAGAAAACGAGACATGCACGCAAAAGTTCGAGTGGATCTAACAGAAAGCATGACAAATATTGGACGCGAAGCCGGATCTGCAAATAAAAGAAAAATAAGAACAAAAATTGAGATCGGAAACGGTGGAATTAAGAGGAGGCTTACGAAGATCCTTGGTTGTAGATATCGATGGAAACAGAGACGCGCTCAGCGCCGGACTTGAGCCTGTTGAGGGAGGCCTTCTTGTGGGAGAGGATGAAGGGCGAGTCAGAGCTCGCGAGCGCCGATGTGAACAGCAACAGAACTACCACCGCCGAGATGAGGGCGCTGCTGATTGGATTCTTCGCCATTTCGATTTCGGATGGTGGTGTTGAGTCGTCTCGTGACGGACAACGCTGAGGTTTGGTGAGGTTTGGTTTGGACCGTTTTGTTGAATCGGGAAATGTTAAATGCACACTTGCAAAGCAATGTAAAACCTCAAGGCCTAGGGTCTGTTTTGTAATTGGACTTAATTTGACCGTATATGGTATACTCTCTTGGATCGGATCCGGTCTATTTGCTGCTGACGCTTTTATTCTTGATCGATGATGGATACCATAATAGTTTATATTCACAATTTTTCTTCTTTTTAATTCAAGTGAGGAAATTGTGAAAGCTAACTTTTTTTTTAGTATAATCAAATAGTCTAAACTACAAAGAAATGACATTTTTTACATACACACAACTATGATGTTGTGAGGATTCAAACTTGAGACCTCTTGTCCTATGTCGATATGTTGAAATGGAAAAACCAAACATTTGCTTCATATAAAACCAATACATTCGTCAACCGAAAAAAATAAAAAATCAATACAAATATGTTGTGTAAAATTCAAGTTGTCCATGTTTGACACTAACTCAGAATTGTAAATTCCATGTTAGTAAGCTCTAGGTGTATAAGCGCTCAAACGCTAATTGGTTAGTAAGTAAGTTAAACTAATGATAATAAATGTGACAAGTAGAGAAAAAAACTGTGCTGTAGTACCTCAGTGGCAGTGTACTGTGTGCATTGTAAATCTACATATAAGCACATGTAAATGTTTATCTGAGTGAGAAGAAGGGCTTGAGGTATTGATCAGGGGAAGAAGAAGAAGGAAGAAGAGGCCTAGCATGAAAGAGAAGAGCCTGTGAGATTAGCCAAGGTGACTGCCTGGCAGCCAAACAGGAATTTGGCACAATATTAATGTGAAGAAGCTGCAGATTAATTAATTATAGGTAAAAGCTCATGAAACTGGAGGCAGGCAAGTCATCCTTGGCTACCAAACAAGACTCTTTCCTTCATGTAAGGCCTCCCTTCCTGTCAACTATGAATTCTTGATGCTCCAGTGCACAATGCTGATGATCATATGTTTAGTCAAAAAAGAACAAAAAAAGAAGCTATAGCTAGGTACAAACAAGGATATATATATATATATATATATAAGGTGGATGGGATGGGTAAATAAAGAAGAGAAAGGTCTGGCATGAGAAAGAAGAGACTGTCAAGTTAGCCAAAGGAGACTGCCTGAGAACCCAAATAACCAGAGCTGTCCTCTTGGAATTAGGAGGCAGGCAGGCAAGTCATCCTTGGCTACCAAACAAGACTCTTATCTTCATGTTAGACCCTCTCTTCATTTCCTTAAGTTTGCTCTCAAATATGTATGTAATCTGCTGCTGTTGTTCATGCCTATTAATCCAATCCCTATTTATAAGTTATAATTAAGCAGTAGATAGACTAGTGCATGCACAGTGAGATGAGGAATAAATATATTCCACGTTATCCAGTGGCCCTCATCGCCTCATCCACACGTTAGTTTAGCTAGTTATAATTAGGTTCCTTTATCTATCTATCTATCTATCTATCTATCTATCTATCTTCATGACAGACTGGTTCTCGCTCCTCTACCTCTGACTCTGAGGAGGTGAAGGTGAAGGTGAAAGTGCAGGGTCAGTCAGGGTGCATCGATAATTTCATTTGGCATGCCCTGACCTGTGCCATGCCCGTAATGGAAAATGGAATAACTATATTCTCCTCCATCTCTAATATCCTCTCCTTGATTGAAAGTTGAATTGAATGGGACCTACCCTAGCCAGCACATGCTCTGTGCGTATATGTTATCTTTATCTCATCTCATCTCTCTCTCCTTCTTGTTTAGCTAAACCAAAGCACACTAGTCAGACAGACACGTAGAATTTCCACAAGTAGCAGAGCTCATCAAGAGACCATGCAACTTGTATATCAATGTCCTGGATAGGTCAGAGCCAAGATTTGCCTTCTTTCGCTATTAATTATTAGTGATTTAATATGATCAGTATGCTTTTTTTTTGTGGGCTAGATAAGTAGGTTTAACCTGATATATGATGATCATCAGTTGTGTAGTTTAGATGGGAGCTCGATATCGTTTCATACTTAATAGCAATGCATTACACGTACATGTACACATACGTATACCTTTTTATTCTTTCTATCCTACCCCTTGAGAGTATGAATAATATATAATATATATGGGATGATAAAACTCCAACAGATCATCTGTGTATTCTTTCCCTGAATAATGTGAGAGACTAAGTGTGACCATATCCATGGTTGTTTTGTTTATAGGTTGAAATTGATTAAAAAAGAAATGATATTTAACCTGACAGAAAAAGAAAAGAAAAGGAAAGAGGCATAAAATCTAGAGAAAAGAAGATAACAGAAGAGTAGTCTCTCTAAATCTCCATCTGCTTCCCTCACTCTCTCTCTCACTTTATGAGAACAAGATTCCAGTGGCATCGTCAACCCATTCAGAATTGGAGGAGATGCCCCCATCCATCCACCTCAATTATAAGGTCAACACATCCACCTTGGTATTATTTCTCTTGCATGATTGCATCAAATAATGATAACAACACTAACAACAATCAAGATGAGATTCGTATTCACTGTTCATCCAACGTACAATATGAATAGCATAGTTTTATATACTGAAAGAAAGAAGAAGAAAAAAACTTGTTTAAAATGTATTGATATGAAGGGTTTTGAACACACAAACACTATGTTATTTGTTTTCATTTGTTCTAATACTACCTTAAACTCGACACCTGTCCAAAATTACACAACCTAATCATGTCTTTGTTTGTGTTGTGATCTCTAACATCAAAACATCAAACAGGGGAGAGATTCATTGACTCGGGGGGGGGGG